CTTTGCCACCAATTCCACGTTCATACCACTCCCTTTGCTCCCTTCATAGAAAACTGTGCTTTTTTTTTTCAAATGCACATAATCCATGTAAAGTTGTGAGGTTTTGTAGGGTTGAGGCTTTTTTCCCCCCTGAATGGTCCAAATGCCTATTCACTGCCAATCTAAGAAAGAATAGGGTTTGAATTTTCACACCATTCCTTCCTATACAGTTCCTGAATACCCATCCAATCAAGATTTGTTTTCAATGGGGAGAAAACCTCCTACAGTAGACTATTTCAAATTGATTCCATTGGAATCTATACATTAATGTTCATTGGGTGAAAACGAAGCATTTCACAAAAGCCCTGTGCCCAGCATTACTGTCACAGAAACTTTTTTCCCACTGTATTCCAGTTAAATAGGGAAGAAAGCCTGGGAACAGATCAAGACAGCACTGTTCCCTTGCCTCGGGCATTGTATGCTGTAGGCATGAGATGGTGCTGAATGATGGGGCATATTTCACCAGTCTTACTTCTACTAAAAATCAGCAAAAGGTGATCCATCCCTTTGTCCGCTATTTTCTTTCCTGTAAGAGCAACAGGTATTGAACGTTTCTCCCTAAGAAAAATGCAAGTTGGTTAGTTTTCTGACTTAAGTCTTTCTGTGGTTTAAAATAAAGGTAGTAACAGTGAGCTAATAACTACCAAAAGTTACCTGGTCTCCAAATTCTCAACTCTAGTTTGGCATGACACTTAATTTAACCATAGATTCTAGAATTGGTTTGTGTCTGGCTACATCAAGGTACCAAGTTATCTGAGAGTTCCTGGTCTGGGAGTCAGAATTCAAGTCACAATGTCAGAATTTACTAGTAGTGTAACCTTAGAAAAATCACTTCTCCTCCTGTTCCCCAATCTCTCTTTGTAAAATGGGGAAAATTTAAGGCAGCTAAGGTGGAACAGTGGACAGACCACTGGACCTTGAGTTCAAATCCAGTCTCAGACACTTACTGTGTGACTCTGGGCAAGTCACTTAACTTTTGTCCGCCTTAGTTTTCCTCATCTGTAAAATGGGGATCAAAATAGCACCTACCTTGCAAGGCTGTTGTGAAGATTGAATGAGATAATATTTGTAGAAGTACTTAAAACAGTGCCTGGAACATAATAAATGTTTGTTCCCTTCCTCCCTGACCCCCAATAATACTCACACTACCTTTTTCCTGGGATGACTGTGAGGAAAGCACTTTATAAAGTACTCAGAAATGAGTTATTAATAATAACTACTGTTCAGTCAAAAAAGAAATTGAAAGAGTCCTGGTGCTAGTCATTGGACCTCAGTTCAAATCCTACCTCTGATGAATATACTACTTGTCAGACCTTAGGCACGTCACCCTTAATGTCCTCATCTGAGGAGATTGGACTGGGTGGTCTTTGAAGTGTCTTCAAGCTTTAGATCTCTGATTCTGTGTGGTTTTCACAAAATTGACTGATTGTTTGGTTAAATGGACCCAACTTGTGAGGGCTCACACATCCAGTAACTGTCAGAGGCAGAATTTGAGCTTGGGTCTTCTGACATTGGGCATGGAATCAGGAAAACTTGTCTTCATGAGTTCAAATCTAGCCTCAGATACTCATTAGCTGTTTGACCCTCGTAAGTCATTTAACCATGTTTGCCTCAGTTTCACATCTGTAAAAATAAGCTGGAGAAGGAAGTGGCAAAACACTCCAGTATCTTTGCAAGAGAACCCCAAATGGGGTTATGGCAAATCAGACGCAACTGAAACGACTGAATAACAGCTTCTGATTCAAAATCCAGTAATCTATCTACTGCTCTGTGACATGGAAGTCAAGTCTACTCCTATATCTTCTCAGTCAGGAACAACTCTCATAACTTTACTCTCTGTTCTCTCTCCTAGGAGCCTTGGAAGTAAATAGCTGTAAGGTTTCATAGGGTGGGCAGTACCTGGTTTTATTCCCTTTTTTTAATTACAAGTACAGCTTGTCCTCAGAATTGTCCCTAACTGGTAGGAAACAGTGGGAACTGATTCCTTTATACACCAGCCATCTCCGGTTGTAAATTGAATAAATAATGTGATAGAGGAGCATTTCTACATAGAGCTAAGGATCAGCAGCATTACAGACCCATGTCAGTCAGTCAGCAAGCATTCATTAAGCACTTCTTATGTACCAAGCACTGTGCTAAGTGCTGTTCTTATGTCTTTGTGTCTATCATTCAGTGACCTTTCTTTGCTGGAAATCAGTGCATTACCTTTATGCCACCCTCTCCTCATCTTTGTTACTCTCATCTCCTGACATCCAGGTCACTCTCATTGACTAAGCATCTGGTTCAAGGTCTTCCTCTATCTCATAGGGTTATTGTAAGATAAAATAAGATATTAATAAAGTGCTTAGCAGAGTGTCTGGCATATAGTAGGTGCTTAATAAACACTTATTTCTTTTACACACATCCCTTCCTCTCCACTCCATCCTCTACAACCATCTTTGAGGACTTAAGTAGTCATGGTGATGATCCTCTAACATCTTAAACATTCAATTCCTCAACCTCTTCAGTTCTAACTAACTCCTCAAACCACATTAACCTCATATTAACATAGCACTGAATGACAATACCTTCAAGATTCTGAACTTTGAAATTCCGCTCTTCCATCTTTCTACCTTTCCTACACAATCTCTTGTTTCTAGCCTGTTCTGTATTTTCCTGTCCCCTCTCCTCTTCTCTGGTCCACTTGCCTCTATACTAAACTTTCATTCCATGGTTCTCCACAATAGTCTTGTACTAGCTACTACTTCAGAAACACACACATACACATATACACACACTGACCTACTATTCCCAAATCATTAATCCTTATCTCTGAGTTACCCCAGCTATATTATTTCTGGGCAAGTTTTTTTTGTTGTTGTTAGGGGGTTGGCACACTAGTAGCTGGGGGATTCTGGAAAGGCTTCATGGAGAAGGAGGTACTGGAGCTGAGCTTTGAAGGAAAGTAGGAGTCTTAAGAGGTCACGATGAGGAAAGATTACATTCCAAGTGGGGAATAATGTTTAATAAGGAGCTGGGTTGTGAAGGCCTTTAAATTCCAAACTGAGGAATTTGTATTTGATCCTAGAAGTAAGAGAGAGCCAATAGAATATAGTGATCAGGGAGTGATGTGGTTATACCTGTGCACTAGGTTTTGATAGTTGCATGTCATATAGATGACTTCCATTTGTGTTTCTGATCAGACACAGTAATACTATCAGAGGTCACCACCAGTTTGCCTTCTGAAAACACCGACTGAGTCAGGTAAAAGGGACCAGAGAGGTAATAATCTTGTGTATAAATTAACCATGTTTTCCTATTTAAAAAAAAAATCAGCAGGGGCAGCTAGGTAGTGCAGTAGATAGAGCCTTAGAGTCAGGAGGACCTGAGTTCAAATCCAGCCTCAGACACTTGACACTTACTAGCTGTATGACCCCGGGCAAGTCACTTAACCCTGATTGCCTCATCAAAAAAATAAAAATGAAAAAAAAAATCAACAGCTTCCCCAAGATCACTAGTCTTGTTTCCAGTCCCCTCTCTCCACTGCCATCATCCAGGGATGAACAACATGTGGAACAATATGGCTCAGGCCTTCGTCATCGCTCACCTGGATTCTTACAAGAGCCTCCTATTTTGTCTCCCTGCCTCATGTCTCTCCCCATTCCAATCCATTGTCTATACAGCTGCCAAAGTAGTTTTCCTAAAGCCAGTTGTGACCATATCACTCAGTAAAACATCAGTGGCTCTCCATTATTTCTTAGATAAATAGCTTTTAAAGCCCATTCCTACATCTCCACCCATCTTCCACATGATTCCACTCCACACACTCTATAGGACAGCAAGCCACACCAGCCTACGTGTGAGGAGTGCTGCTCCTCACACTTGATGTTCATCTCTCATCTTCTTCTGCTTCTGGCTGCCCTTGGAAGTGTTACGGAACACATGCAGCCCACAGGACACTTGTTTGACACCTCTGTGGTAAACAATAAGTGGTTTTTCATTCAGTGATCATTAGCATAATTGTGGTAACAAAACCACTTCCCAGGGTCAGGATTGCTGTTTTGTGACCTTTTAGGCACCCATTTCCCATTAGGCTTCAGAGAATTTAAACTATTCCCTGTACACTCACTGTGAAAAACCTCGCATGAGGCATTAGAGATGGCAGGCATATATAGATAATGGAGTGGAAGCAGAGGAATGTCACTTTCTTGAGTTGATTAAAGCTGGCTTGCATTCTATAACCCATTCTTCAGCTGAGAAACGTTTAGTTAACTTAATGGTGAATTTGATTTTCTCAGGGATTTTGCATAGATGGTAGGGAGGGGTTTGCTGGTTTAATTAAATGAATAGATGAAATGTTTGAAAGTTTTAGCTGTTGGATTCATTTTTGTCTGTGAGTAAAACAGAGGGATGGGGAACCTTTTGTCAGCTCAGGGGAGCATAGGGATTTAACCAAGTTCGGGGACTGACCAATTCTATAGAGGCTTTAGGAATGGGCTGAAAATTTCCTTAGTTAATAGTTTGCTTTCAGAATCTCTTGAGTAGAGGTTGAATAAGTTTAGTAAATATGCTAACTAAATAACATATCTAGTTGTACTTCAGTCGGTATCTTTCTCTCAAAAGCTTTAGGCTTTTGAGTGGCTCCTGCCTGGAACCAGACCCTCGTGGGGAATGTAAACGTGAAGAGGGTGTGGATGAGGACTGCAGCTATTATGCCAGAATATAGGCTCTGCATCCAAAATCACTAGGATTCTGGTTAGCCCAGAAGTCTCAGCAGCCTTCAAGCTCTTGACATAACGGGTTACCTTTCCTGTATAGTCCACAAACGCATGTTCAGGGCATTGCTTCTATATCCCGCATTATTCCGCTTGGCATGGCCGAGGGTCGAGCAGGCATCACCCCAAATCTGGAGACTGAACAGGAAAGAGATCCAAGCCAGCTCTAATGGATGCCTTTATCTTGTTTGTTTTGCTTCGCTCCAGGTGACATCAGTTGCAAGGGGATGACCGAGCGCATTCACAGCATCAACCTTCACAACTTCAGCAATTCCGTGCTCGAGACCCTCAACGAGCAGCGCAACCGTGGCCACTTCTGTGACGTGACGGTCCGCATCCACGGGAGCATGCTGCGTGCCCACCGCTGTGTGCTGGCCGCCGGCAGCCCCTTCTTCCAGGATAAGCTGTTGCTGGGCTACAGCGACATCGAGATCCCTTCGGTGGTGTCGGTCCAGTCCGTACAAAAGCTCATTGATTTCATGTACAGCGGGGTGCTCCGGGTCTCCCAGTCAGAAGCCCTGCAGATCCTCACAGCGGCCAGCATCCTCCAGATCAAGACCGTGATTGATGAGTGCACGAGGATTGTTTCTCAGAACGTTGGCGATGTCTACCCGGTGATTCAGGACTCTGGCCAGGAGACCCCCAGGGGGACGCCGGAGTCCGGCACCTCGGGGCAGAGCAGCGACACGGAATCTGGCTACCTGCAGAGTCATTCCCAGCACAGTGTGGACAGGATCTACTCGGCCCTCTACGCCTGCTCCATGCAGAATGGCAGCGGGGAGCGCTCCTTCTACAGCGGGGCCGTGGTTAGCCACCACGAGACGGCCCTCGGGCTGCCGAGAGATCACCACATGGAAGACCCCAGTTGGATCACCCGGATCCATGAGCGCTCACAACAGATGGAGCGGTATCTTTCCACCACTCCAGAGACCACCCACTGCCGAAAGCAGCCGCGCCCTGTCCGGATCCAGACCCTGGTGGGGAACATCCACATTAAGCAAGAGATGGAGGACGACTACGACTACTATGGCCAGCAGAGGGTGCAGATCCTGGAACGCAACGAGTCCGAGGAGTGCACGGAAGACACGGACCAGGCCGAAGGCACTGAGAGTGAGCCCAAGGGGGAGAGCTTCGACTCGGGGGTCAGCTCCTCCATTGGCACAGAGCCCGACTCTGTCGAGCAGCAGTTCATGGCTGGGATCGGCCGAGAGGGTCAGCCGGAGCCTTCTCAGCCTGAGCCTGCTGATCTGCCCACGGAAGGCGGCCAACAGCAGCAGCAGCAGCAGCAGCAACAGCAGCACCTAGATGCCAACTCCTCTTCCCCAGAGAGGAGCAATGATGTGGAGATAGACAGTGCCGTGCTCACAGTGAGCAACAGCGCTGAGAAAGGAGTCTTGCAGCCTTCGGTCAACACATCGATTGCCCAGCCATTGCCAAGCACCCAGCTCTATCTACGCCAGACAGAAACCCTCACCAGCAACCTGAGGATGCCCCTGACCTTGACCAGCAACACACAGGTCATTGGCACAGCCGGCAACACTTATCTGCCGGCCCTCTTCACTACACAGACCGCAGGCAGTGGCCCCAAGCCTTTCCTCTTCAGCCTGCCCCAGCCCTTAGCAGGCCAGCAGACCCAGTTTGTGACAGTGTCCCAGCCTGGCCTGTCAACTTTTACTGCCCAGCTGCCAGCCCCACAGCCCCTGGCCCCATCTGCAGGCCACAGCACGGCCAGTGGGCAGGGGGAAAAAAAGCCTTACGAGTGCACTCTCTGCAACAAGACTTTCACCGCCAAACAGAACTACGTTAAGCACATGTTCGTACACACAGGTGAGTGGCGGCCCTGCAGGGAATCACCCAGCTGAGGTGGGAGACAGGCAAGGGAGGGGGAAGGCGGAGGTCCTAGAGGTTAAAGAACAGTCATTGTTCTGACCAGACCCAAGGTGGCCTCCCAAGCCTTGTCATTCTGGATCGCTCGTGCAGAGGACCTGATTATCTGGGTTCCTTGCTGGTCACTCTGCCCTGGAAAGGCAGAAATACAATTCATTTTTGAAGGAGCCTTTTTAGAAAAGGTAGGAATGATCAGGCATAGTTGCCCCTTAAATATATTGTGTTTCCTAGAGTACAGAAGAGTGATTCCTTAATGTGCTTCTTCCTCAGGAAATTGTGACTCCAAAGTTAACTCTGCACATGTAGGCATGGAGGTTAGCCACCAGTGTAGTACAGCTTTAGGGAGCTATCAGTTTTTACATGTTTAGAAATACTTATCCCTAATGGTGACAATCGGTCATGAATTTCCTTTTATCAGAGTCAAGCTTTGGGGTTAAGTCATTAACTCCAAAAGATTCCTGTTAAAATGCAAATGTGGGAGGGATGACACATCTGTGTCGATACAAATGAACACAAATTAGTTTAAATTAACTAGCTATGACCTAGCAGGACTCTAGGGGACCAGCTCCAAAACAGGTAAGTTTTAAATGGTGATGGTGGTTGATAGGGATGAGTTATGGAGGGAGACGTGAGGAAAAGTCAGGATGCAGGAGGCACTGTGAGGAGAACACTAGGTGCCTTGGAAGAGAGTCCTGAATGTCAAAGTGAAAACTGAAATGAATGGAAGGTTCATAACTGAGGAAGAACTTCACAACTTTGTCAGTAGTTAATCTTGTGTGGCTTGTTAATGCCTCCAAGTGTAATCACATAAAAAACATTCGAGTAGACCATGCAAGCACCAGCATGAAAGTATTCTTGAAGCATTCAGTGAGGCTCACCTTTCCCTTTCAGTCACCCCCCACCCCCGACATCCCCTAGCAGGCCAGTAGACTCAAAGTCCCTGGTACTTATGGGGCTACGTGAACTCTGGTTGTAACTTGAACCTGGCCCAGAAAAATATGCTTGTTCATTACCAGCTGTTACCACATAAGGCATGCATGATGTAGCTGTTTTGTATATCATGACATTACTTGGGAAAGAAAGTGTCTCTCAACGCATTTTAGTTTCAAATGAAGCAATTTCACAGATAGCCCCCTTTCTTACATTCTATATTAACTCTAAAGTATTTTTTCTACTGGCCTAGGAAAATCAAATTCATAATCTCTTGGGACCATATTTCCAAAATAACCACTAACCTGTTACCCACAAAGTTCTAGTGTCCTACTGAAAACCCGCCTCTTGGTCTCTTCTCATATTTCTCCAATGCAGATTCTTTGGTTAACCCCAAATGACCATATATTTGCTCATACAAAATTTAGGATTACTTTGCAAATTTGCATGTTGGATATAAAGGCTAGCAGTCAGTTTACAACATCAAGCTTCAGTTATTATGAGTGAAAGAAATTGTATTGTTCGTCTGAGACTCTCTTTGTTGTTCCTGTAAGACTAGAACAGTGACTCTCAAAATGTTTTCCACAAGTATCTGTTGAACTGTGAAAGATCCTCCAGGTGATCTTCAGTGTGGGTTCTTGGGTCCTCATGTTTCCAGTAAGGCCACAGTTATTGAATAATAATTACCTCCCTCAAAAGAATAGAAAGAAATAGGAAGAAGCAGCAGCATCCCATTCATTCTGGAATTACTTATAGGGAGAGATTGAAATGGGATGGTGTAAATGGCCTGTCAGCTGTTTTGCCTTACTATAAGAGTTCATTATCTTAATTTAAAAAAAAAGAAGGAAACTCTTCATCTAAATCTTCAAAAGCCAAAATGGAAAGGATACATCTAGGTTCCCTTGTCATGCCTCAACTGTAACACACATCAGAGTTCTCTCTACTCCCCTGAAAAAGTCAATCAGTAAACATTTATTAAATGCTTACTGTGTGCCAGGCACTATTATGTTAAGTGCTGGGAGTACAGAGAAAGGTAAAAAACAGTGGCTGCTTTCAAAGAGTTCAGAATATAATAGGGAGGAGTAAAGGGGATAGGATCCCATCACTCTAAAGAAACCCAGAAGGAGTGACCAAAAAACCTAAGACATCCAATATCTGCTATGAAAAGGTTACAAAAAAGCAATGAAGCTAATTCTGTATGTGGCTTATAGAGATGATAATAACATATTGTATATCTTTTCTTCTGTTCCGAAGCCTTTTGGAGTTTCTTGGTTCCTCAAGCTTATGTGACACGATTAAAATAACTGGAAGGCATCTACTCAGTGGTGAAAAATCTCTGCAATTTTTGACTGATTATATTAGTTCTTCAGGAACTAATAAATAATTATTATTATATAATTATTATGTATATGTATAAAATTATATAATATATAATATATATAATATATATAATATAATTAGTTCTTCAGGAACTAAGCCTGGGCTTCCTTTATAACCCAGAATTTTTTTCCTCCTTCTTCTTTTGATATATTTTTATGTTTATTGAGTATCTTCCTAGAAAAGAAAAGAAAATCCTTTACCTAGCCACACTCCATCCATTAGCAGACCATAGTAAGAATCTACTTACTCCCTATAGGCATTTTTCAAGCTCACTTGCACTTGGCCAGAAAAACCAAGAGTGTAAATAAATCAGAATCACAAGAAGTTGTTTGGAGATGAGAGATTCAGAGAAGAATCAAAAATAACACAAATTATCCTATCATCCCAACACATTAGGATGACCCAATTTTTTCCACTTTTTCCAGAAAACTGGTGTCACCACTAAAAGAAGAACAGTGTAAACAATCGAGAAAGAAAATTAAGGGTCTTTTTCTTCTCAAAGACAATGTGCCTTCATGAGGGTATTTTTTTCCTTTCTTGTCTTCTCCCATACTTCCTCTCCTCCTATCATTCCCAGACATTTCTGGAGATTTTATATTAGAATTGAAGACTCAGTACTTGCTGTACTTCAGCTTGCAATCTGTACTATACTATACTGGCAGTCTATACCAGATATGGGCCAAAGGAGGAATAACAACTAATCTAAGAAAAAAAGGCATCTTTTTTTTCTGCCACTGTTATCAACATATCGCTTTAAGTCATACATCCCTAGCTGGATCCAAAAAGATAGGAGGGATAAGGATTGATAGGAACAAATTGTCCAGGTCTCCCACAGAAATGTCAGAGATACAAATTAGCAAAGCATAGAGTCTCACTTGAGTATATGTTACTGTAATCCCAACTTTAAGAATACCAAATCTCAGGCATTATGCCTATCAAGCCAACAGAAGAGGAAATGAGCATCAAAAAGACATATAAAAACTTAATCACACAAGCCAAAGTAAAGAATCACAGAATTTAAGAGTTGGAAAGGTCCCCAGTTACCATTTAGTCCAACCTGTACCCAAACAAGAATCCTTATATAAGATGTCTGATAAGTGATCATTCACCCTTTCCTTAAAAGCCTCCATTGAAGAAAGACCACTATTTCTGAGACAGCACATTCATTCCTTTTGGGGATCGTTCTAATTGTAAGGCTTAATGTAAAGGAAAAACTTAATTTAATATAACATATAGGGTAAATCCTGAATCTTATCTCAATTTGAAAAGGGCTCTAAAATCAATATTTTCTTTTGACTGCAGCCCTGAATCTGATAAAGTTTATAATTTGGATGACACATGTGTCCCATTCATACACTTCTGAGATTATGGGTTTACCCTCTCCATGAAAGTTCATGACATGATAACTATCACCTTAGGACACATAATTCTCCTTTGGATACACAGCCTTTCAGACTACCCTGGTATATGTGTCACAAGGGCAAGCCAGAAGGAAGGACTGGTCCCCATCTAATCTCAGTTTTTCAAAGTGGTAGCCATACAGATTCATACACCTCTCCAATAAAGAGTCTCCAAAAATTGGCATCCAATGTTGTCATTTAACTGAAGTGTGTATATCACCGTTCCTTGTGTGGTACTAAGCTCAGTTGTCCTCTTAACTTGATTTTAGCCTCAAAAATTCCGAGAGAGGATTAGGTTGGAACTAGAGAAGTCAGCTAGGTGGTGCTAGGCTAGACCTGGAGTCAGGAACACTCATCTTTGTGAGTTCAAATCCAGCCTGAGACAATTACTAGCTCTGTGACCCTGGGTAAGTCACTTAAACCTGTTTGCTTCAGTTTGCTCACAAATGAGTTGGAGAAGGAAATGGCAAATACTCCAGTATCTTTACCAAGAAAACCCCAAAAAGGGGTCATGAAGAGTCGGACTTGACTGAAAATGACTGAACAATAACAAGAAGAGAAATCAGAGTGGGTCCATAGTCAAAATTCACCTCAAACTTTTGGCCAAGACCATAAATGGTGATGAAACTCCTTATAGAATTCAGATTATCTTTTTTCTGTCACAAAGGCTTATATTTTTACTAAAATGCAGAGTTCACAGAGAGACACCATCATGAGACTTAAGCCTTGCACACTGGCCCAGACCACTTACACAGTAGTGTCGAGTGGGATCTCTAATGATAATTTTCTTTTCCCTGCCCCATTTAAACCAAACCCAAATAGCGTTGCCACATTTTTAAAAAAGAAGAAGAAAAGTGAGCCATTTAGGTATTTGTTTTTAATGCTCAGAGAAGAACTGAAAAAGACCAGAAAGAATCACAGACAAGCAGGACAACTTTGAAAGTTATGTGTATAATTTATTATATGCTTTTTTAAAAAAACACGCACTATATAATAGAGATTTACAGTTTCATGCTGAGGTTTCTTATTCAGTTCAATTAAAAATTAAATATCTTGAGATTAAAATTTTTTTTTCAAAGATTCAGTGGTCAGCTTACATGTTCTCATTTTATTGCGAGGCTTGCCTTCCCAAAATCTCCATGTAGAAAACTAGAAAACAGAGAAAAATAAAGAAAACAAAATTATTTATATCCATTTAATATTCGTGTTGTCCATTGAAAAGAGAATTAG